TAAAAAAAAATTATTTTTTATGATTTAAAGAAATTGTGTATGTATGTGTGTCTATGTGTGAGTTACTTGCACTTGATTGTAGGTACCTGTGGAGTCTAGAAAAGCATGTTGTGTCTCTTGGAGCTAGAGTTACAGGCAGTTGTGATCTGCCCCATATGGGTGTTTAAAACAGAACTCAGGTCCTCTGCAAGAATAGCAAGCATTTCTCCAGCCCTGCAGTAACATTTTTGACATAGGGTCTCCTGTAGCCCAGGCTGACTTCAAACTTAATATTTAGCCAAGGATGGTTTTGAACTCCTGATCTTGCTAGAGTATAAGCATGTGCCACCAAGTCTGACTTTATGTAGTGTCAGTGAGGATCAAATCCAGAGCTTGGCATGCTGCACAAGCACTCTACCAACTGATCACATCCCCACCCCCTCTCCATAGTATCTTAGGCTTATCCAGATTGAAGGCTTCCATCTGAACTCAAATATTGTGGCCAGAAATCCTCCCTTGGAGGATAAGCAAAAAAGGGGTCAAATTGATGTTAAAAAAAAATCAAATAGAATTTACTTTTAAAAAATATTCAGAAAGATTAACATGAAATTACTTGACTTCAGGAGAAAAATTGGGCTCTAGTGATTGGCCACAGGTCATGACGAGACAGAGAGAGAGAGAGAGAGAGAGAGAGAAAGAGAACATCCACTGTTTGTGGTTTCATTCAGAGCCCATCCATATACAGAGGTGTGGTTCTTATGACCTCTAGAAGACATCAGAAGTTTTAATTTCTATTATCTCAATATTATTCCCTCTGCACCTCTTTTTATGAGTTAGGCCCAATACTAACAGTTCTTGCCCACTGAAATCAAAAGGACTGATTTTTTTGCAAGATGCCTCTCTACTTGCATAGAAAAAACAAACAAACAAAACCCAGAAAGTTACACACTAGTCTGTGTCCTCACAATATTTCAATTCATTTTTCTTGAGTTTCTTTTTTCTGATGAACTGTATACATACAATGATCGGATCACAAGGATGCAGTGTAGTGACTAGAGACAGGTACATAAGTAACATGCAAGTCCCTACCAAGATATTGACATTTCTGCCAAAGGGAGATAGCTCAGCTGGGAAAGTGCCTGTCCCACAAGCATGAGTACCTGAGTTGATTCATCACCCAGGTAAAAAGCCAGGGGTAGTGTGCAAGCTATTTATAATCCCATTACTGAGGGGGTGGAAACTACTGGATCCCTAGCGTTCCTTGGCTTGCTAGTCTAGCCAAATCAGTGAGGCTTAGGTACTAATGAGAGACTTTGTCTCAATAAAATAAGTCAGATGGCTCCTAAGAATCAACCCCCCCCCCCACACACACACGCTGACATTTTGGTTCCCTAACACACCCTTTCCTGTCCCTTTTCAGAAAATGATGCATCCCACAAGGACAGTCATTACTCTGATGATGTCTGTTACCACAGAGAATGTTGCCTGCTCTGGCTCTTTATAGGAATGTGATTAGATAGTATGTTATATATAGGCAGATGGCTCTTTCTAAACACTATGTTATTTCTAGTTTCTTTCACACAGCAAAATCTTTTTGAGATTCGCCCTTTACTGCCTATCCATGGTTAGGTAACACATATTTTTTCCTCTAGTTCTGTTTTCTGATTTTTCTCCTTATCACTGTTTGTAGAAATGTGATTTAGAATGTCTCACTGTGACTTTCTACCTTACTGATTGAAAGTAAAATATGTTTTTTTTTTCTTTAAATCAGAGTTGGGCTGGAGAGACAGATTAGTGGTTAAGAGCATTTTCTGCTCTTGCAGAGGACCCAGGTTCAGTTCTCAGCACCCATATGGCAGCTCACAAGGATACACAGCTCTATTACAAGGGCTCTGACTCCCTCCCTCTTCTGGCCTCCACCAGTACCAAGCATTCTGGTGACACATGAATGTACATACAAGCAAAACACTCACATACATAAAACAAAATAAGTAAATCTTATGCACTTTTTAACCAAAGTTGCAGATTTTTCAGAATTTACTTTTTCAAAAATGTTTTCCCTTCCTCCCACTTCTCAAATGCTGGAGATATGTACATGATATCTCCTAATGCTGTCTCTTGGGTCACTAAGCCAATGAGTTTAAATAGGTCTTTTTCAATTTTTAAGTTTATTCTTCTCTCGTATATTATATCCTGAGCACCCTTTCCCCTCCCACCTCTTCTCTTCGCCAGATCCACTCCCTGCTGTGACATGTGTCCACTGTCTTTCTCCTACGGTACTTTGTCTTCCGTCACGTCCGTTCATTGAACTTTTCATTCCAGATGCTATACTTTTAGATCGTAGAATTTTCGTTTGATAATTTTAAAAAATAATTTTTATTTCTCTGAAGAGGTTTCCTATTGTTCAAGCCTGCTTTTCTGTTGCTGTGGTAAACACAGAGACCAACGGGAGAGGAAAGAGCTTATTTCACCTTACAAGTTATGGTCCATAACTGTGGGAAGTAAAGCAGAAGCTCAAAGAAGGAACTGAAGCGGAAACCACGAAGGAACCCTGCCCCCTGGCTTGCTTTCTTTGGCTTGCTCAGATGCCTTTCTCACACAGCACAGATCTACTTGGGTAGGGATGACACCGCCCCCAGTGGGCGGGACTCTCCTGCACCAATTAGCAATCAAGAAAATGCCCCAAAGACGCGCCCACTAGTCAATCCAATGGAGGCAATTCCTGAACTGAGGTTCCCTCTTCCCAGGTGTGTCAAGTCGACAACTGAAGCTGATTGACACCTCTGTGCATTATATCACCTTTTCCTTTAAATCCTTGAACATTGTTATAATAGCATTGCTGATTCTTGTCTCCTGCTTTAAACATCTGTATTATCTTTGAGTGTGCGTCTATTGATGAGGGTGGGGAGGTAAGGATTCCGTGTTGTTTCCTGCCTTATTTTCATTTAACGGTAATGTTTGTAATTTCTTGTTGTTGCCTGCAGGCAACGCTCTTGAGTGTTCTAGATGACTTTAAGCTTTGCTAGGATGTGTCTGTAGAAACTCTTCCTCTAGGGATAAGGCAGCTCAGGCTTAAGGAACAGTCAGTCTATTCTGCTTCCTGGCCTGAATGACTGAAGCATCCGCCAAGAGTTTTATGCCCTGGTTGACTGGATCTTTGGAGAGTTACAGCACTGTCCAACCTCTGGAACCTTCTGGAGGCTCACAGCCCTGACATGATGTTTCACAGCTGGCCTTAGAGTCTCACCCTCCTGTTAATGTGCAGCAGAGTCTTCAACAGAAGCTGTAAGGGTGTTAGAATGGCTTCTTGAGCAGCATTTATTCATAACTGGAACTTTGCTCAATACTCTCCAAATGCCCCAGAAGCCACAACCTCGATTTCAGTTCTCCAGCCAGATACAAATGTCCTCCTGCTTCTGCTTCCCTTTAGCAACAGTTTAAGGTCCCCGGGCAGTGGGGGAGGAGGGGCTAATGTGGTGATTTGATCTATCTATCTATCTATCTATCTATCTATCTATCTATCTATCTACCTACCTATCATCTATCTACCTATGTAGTGACAGAAGTGTAGCATCCATTACCCTGTCCTGGATATAGCCAAATGCCTACCTTGCATTTTGCATTTTAATACCTGTCTGATTATTTCATAATTATCTGTTTGTTTCTCTTTCCCACAGAAGTGAAGTGGCTGAGTCTAGTGATTTGTTCATCTTCAATCTCTTTTCTATCCTTATGAGAAGAGAATCCTCATCCCACAGGTAAGCAGGTTATTTAAGAGAAGCATGGGTTTCTGATGTGCATATGGTATGCTCTGTAATCAAAGGACACAATAAAAAAAATGAAATTAAAGAATAGGATGTGAGCCTGTTTGTAATCTCAAGAAATGAGTGGGCAGGTGTCACTGAGGACTGGAAATGACTACTGACAGACTGTTAACTGCTGGGCCTTAAGGATAAGAGTTAGAGATTATGGTGGTTTGAATGAAAATAGCCCACATTATCTCATGGTCTCATGTATTTGAATGTTTGGTTCCCAGTTGGTAGACTCTTTAGGAAGGATTAGGAGGTGTGGCCTTGTGGGAGGAGGTGTGGCCTTGTTGGAGGAGATATGTCACTGTGGGTGGACTTTGGGGTTTCAAAAGCCCATGCCAGACCCAGTCTTGCTCTCTCTTTGCCTCCTGTCTGCAATTCAGGATATAAGCTCTCAGTTACTCCTCCAATACCATGAATGTGAGCTGCTACACACGCTGCCATGGTGATCATGGACTGACTCTCTGAAACTGTAAGCAAGGCCCAGTTAAAGGCTTTCTTTGTAAGTTGCCCTGGTCATGGTGTCCCTTCACAGTAATAGAAAAGTAAATAAGACAGAGATCTAAACAAGAATGTTTAAAATCACTTTTAGCAGAGTACTAAAGACTGATACTGTTATACCCTCTGATGCTATCATTTAAATAAGATGCAAATAGGATGCCATTTGGAAGAGGGAATTTGAGGGGCACCCCTCCCTGATAAGGCCTAAGAATAAGGATGTGTAACCTAGAAGGGTGGAAGTTTGCTTTGGGAATCTGAGTAAAAGACAAATCCATCATAGAAGGTGATTCCCAAAGGTGCTGGGGTCTTGTGCTATCATCTCTTTGGGGTACAGGTCTGTACTCTCATCATTTGAGAATTCAAATTGTGTCCTGACACAGGAGGTTGACTTGGCTTCTGTGGCACAATAAAGGTTGTAAATTAGTCATGTGATTGAGGAAGTCTTGGAAGAATTGCCCAGCCCTTCTTCATGCTGGTTGGCTGCAGCCATAGCAACTGCTTGTTCTAGACCAAAGTTCAGGGTCCGCACATCTTTATGGCCTTGTTCACAGTTCAATGTTCAGGAGCATAAAACTTCCCACGAAGACACAGGTTTTACATTCACAACAGAATACTAGACCTCCTTTCTAAATACTGGACTCCAAATGACAAGGCCCCCAAACACTCTGAGGTGGTGGTTGTTCTATCCTAGGGGGCTTTTCTCCTGAGAAAATGCCGACCACACAGAAGACATTGTTGTTCCTATCTGGCTTTGTCACAAGCCTTGGCTCCGTTGTTGTCATCTGCTCGATCCTGGGGACACAGGCATGGGTCACTAGCACTATTTTCTTCACAGACGCTATTTCCAATGGGACCATTGTCATCACCTACGGCCTCTTCCGTGGTACGAGTGCTCAAGATTTGAATGAAGGCCTTCAAGATCTGGATAAAAACTTTGAGGGTAAGTGATCATCTCATTTGAATGGGGAGAGCAGGAGTGGGTAAGATTTCCATCATTCTACATCTGGACCAAAGAGCCATTAAAATCAGTTTCTTCGAAGCCCTAATTTAGGCTATCAGTGGACTAACTCGTAATTTTGAAAAACTCTTTAGCATTATTTCAGACTCTTTGGCACTGGTTATCTTGTTATTGCTAGAGTCTAAACTATTCTAACAGCCGCTGGGCTTGAATGTACCTATCTAGTTTATTGACAAGTAAATAATTAAGTTAAAGTATGTGGTAGCTTTATGGTGTTTAATAACCAGCAGGAGCAGCATTTTAAAGGACGTTGACCATGGATTTTGACGAGGTGCATCCAGCTCCCTCCAGAAGTTCCTAAGTACTCATATAGGGTAAATGTCAAGCAGAAAACGTCAACATCCAGTGCGTATTTCTCAGCTTCTTGAGCTTACACTTTTGTATTCAAACTATATAATTGTTGGAAATGACATTTAATTCCTATCAGTCCTATCACTTACAGGAATTCCTATTTGTTCCTTATTTCTGATATAATAATGTCTTGCTCTGAGGAGATACAAAATAAGAAACCATTGAGGATAAGCGAATGTAGCTACTTGAGTTTCAGAGTTTGAGATCTGGCATTATGGTTCTTGAAATGTGAAAGTCACATCTGTACGTTGTATAGCATATAAGTGGACTTTGAATTGCATAGTCATGTGTGCAGGGTCTGTACAGCCGATTGGGGGGATGTAAGCACCATCTACTACCTTATGCCAGTGTCATGTTGGGTGCTCATACTCCAGGATGGAGTTCTAGGAGGTTTATGATTCACTAATGAAATGGTTTCCATAAATCCAGGGCAATGTGTTTCTAACTACCAATGGGTCTTTGAGTGGTAGGAAAACCACATCTTCCCTGAGGTTTCAGCGGCTTCTCCCCTCCCCTGGTGCTGGCCGCAGCCTAGAGACCGACTCTCCAGCAACCAGGAGCTACGGTTTCAAAGGCCCCTTCAGTGATACCGTTTTCAAAAACAAAAGTATGCTTGTTTGTGAATCGTCCGGCAGATTTAAACGCTTTACATTTGAGACAGAAGTCTACAGTGTCGACTTGGGATCAGTTGATTCCATCTAGAGATTGATGGCCTCCATGGAAACTCTGAGTCTCTAGCCAGGGAGCCCCAGAGAAGGACAGGAAAGGTCAGGCCTGGCAAACCAGCCCTACGTGACTGGGAGTAAGCTGGTGTCTGGAGAGCAGGGACAGCTTCAGTCACAGGGAGCACAGCTTGGGGTCAATGCCAACTCGGTCCTTGCCCTTAGTGTAGCAACAGAGGCAGAATGCTTGTGTCCCTTGTGCCTGGTTCTCTCTGTTTTCATCCTTTGCTACTGGAAAGCCACACTCTAACTACCCCTCAAACTCATTGTCCAACCTCCCATTGCTGCAGAGGGTCAGCAAGCACTCAGGGGAGGAACATGCTGCGCAGTTGCTGGTTGGCATCTAGGGGCCACTCAGGGACTATGGGATTTTCCATACCTGTGACTGCGGTAATCACTGAACATGTAAACAGTTCTCCCAGACAGGATGTCGTTTTTAGACCATGTAGGCAATGCTAAAGATCCTCTGTTGCTTACCCTGTCAACAGAATCCAGTATTTACACTGGGACACTTTGCTCTCCTGTGAGTAAGTCAGGCCTGCAATATACATCATTAGCCAATCATTGGTAGCAAAATTAAATCTGTATAAAATGAAATAGGCATAGTCCTGTTTGGCACTGGTAGATGGATGCTTCCCCTTGAAAAGCCAAGTGTTTGAGTTTTGTGGCTAAGGCCGGGACGTGCTGAAATCCTCAGGCGGTGATGTGTATCACCAGGCCCTGTTATACTTCGGCAGGGGAATCTAACATGTTGTGTCTATTTGGACTATAGAGTTTGAAGTGAAAGAGCAGAATGGGCAACAGTATTTGGTGTAAAGTGAAAAAATCATTCAGCCAACAATGGGTCAATGAATGGAGGTGATGCCTAGTCAGCCCCAGTGAGGAAACTTTCTGTTGTGGAATTGGGCTAACATTGAGCTCAGGCTGGCTAGATGGGTCCTGGTTTGTCTAATACCCAGATAAGTGACAGTTTAGCTCTGTCTAGCCATGACTGGATGGTCTTTGCTACTCCTAAAGTTCTAGCTGTATAATTTCAGCTCAAAATATCTGCTATGTGACTTAGGAACTGATAGGATTTGTGCACAGTTCCTGTCATGAAGTACTCCCTATTTAGGGCCAGGGGAAGCTCCTCCTCTGCTGAAATGCAACACCCTGCACTCATGTAAGTCTCCACAACAGCTAGAGGTGGGGTGGTGAACACAGCTCCGTGGACTCATAGGAGGACCTGTGCTCACACTCACGAGGGTGTGCCTCCTCCTGCCACCTTCAGTTTGACTCTTGAGTGCTTTATAACAGGATGGACCTAAGGGGCATGATGTGCACTATTTCCCCAGGGTGGCAGGAATGGGGCAATGTGTCATGTGGCTGTGGCATCCCTCAGAATGGGATCTCCATCCAGTATTACCCAGCCTACATCCTCACCAGACCAAGCATCCTCACAGAATTATTTTGGCATTTCAATGAATGCTATTTCTCCTCCCATAGCACTTGGTCCCAAGAACATCTCAGTTAGTAGACACGTGACACTTCAACAGCCACATTACCATGGCACTGACTCTGGCCTGGAGATACAATCTCCTGGATGATACAGAGACTCCCTGCACTTGACCTCCCATGCCAACAAGAAAAATTCCAGATTCAGGTCCCATTCCTCCTGTTTAAAAAAAAAAAAATCTTACTAGATGCATTATTTTCTAGGTAACTATGGCAAAACATCTGAGAGAAACAACATGCAGGAGGGAGGGTTTAGTTTTAGTTCCTGGTTCTAGAGGGATTCCAGCCCACCATGGTGGGCAAGGCACGGCAGAGCTGTGTTCAGTGTGAGGTAGTCTTTTCACATAGTGTGGATCAGATAGCAGAGAACACACGCCAGAACCCAAGTGGGTACAGCCTTCATAGGTCTACCCCTAATAATCTACTTCTAGTAGCCAGTCTGTGTCTCTGGAAGTTTCCACAGCCTTTAAACCAGTGCCATAGACTGGAGTTTGAGCTTTGAAAATTTAAGCTGGTGGGGGACGTTCTAGTCAATTCCTAATATCAGGTGTGATGGTCAACACTGATTATCAACCTGATGAGAAACAGGGAGATAAGCCCTGGGCATGTCTGGGAGGGAGTTTCTATATTGGGTTAATTGAGGTGAGAAGATGCATACTAAATGTGGGTGGCATCGTCTCATGGATAGAGGTCTTGAACTACAGAAAATGGAGGTGAGCTGATCATCAGCATTCATTCATCTCTCTCTCTGCTTCCTGACTGCAGATGCAGTGTGTATAGTTGTCTCAAGCTCCTGCTGCCACGTTTTCCCCACCGTGGTGGAACGTAGTCTCAAACTGTGAGCCAAAATAAGCCCTCCTCTCCTTAAATTGCTTTTGTTAAGCCCTTGATTGTAGCAATAAAAAAAGTGATTAATACACTGGGTGATTTGAGGGCAAATGGATTGTAATTCTGACTCAGGGTTGATGGTCCCCAACCTTGCCTTGGCTAGGTTGACACAAGCTTTGGGCATTACTTTCATGCCCCTTGGCAGTAGGCTGCTTGAAGTTGATTTTTTTTTTATTGTGACAGCTTAGGACACAACCTTACAAATGAACCAAGGCAGGCTGAGGGTAAATGTCAGGCTCAATGGTCTCTGCACTCAGGCCAAGGACCAACTATCACCAGCTATCACCGAAGGGCTTGTCACGGTCTGGCTTCTCCTCTGTCCCCAGGCTCCACTGGCTCCTCTTTCTTTTCTGTGATCTCAACATTGCACTATTAAACAGAACCGAATTGAGAAGGTAAACACAACCCAGAAACTAGTCGCAAAGTAAAGAATAAATGAAGCTGACTTCTTGAGACTATAGGAAAACCCTACCTCCCTACTCTGACTTCATCTCATGTATCAGAACGTGTCTCCTGGAGAAGGACTGTCTACCCTTTTTCCCTTCTCAGAGATGTGACCACATTGGAAGAAGGAGATGGAAGGAATGGAGGGGGCCAAACCAGAGGCCTTAGTCACATTTCTCCCAAGACAATCTTGGCAACTGTCCAAGAGGTTGAGGTGCTAGCTGTGAGTTCCTGGGAGGGCCTAGGTCCTGCTCTAAGATCTGTCCATACTGCGATGCCCACTAATGGAAACATCACACTGAGTCAGGTCCCTGGTGGCCACGTGTCTGAGGAAGTGGAATCAGATCCTGTCTGAAGAATCAGTTTTAGTTACTTGTGTTTCTGCGGTAAAATATCTGACAAAACCCCAGTCCATCACAGTGGAGAAAGTCACCAAGATAGGAGCTTGAGGCTGCCAGTCACATCGCATCCACAGTTAGAAAACAGAGAGCCGGGAGGGGTGAAGGCTGGTGTTCATCTTTAAGGTAGATCCTCCCACTTCACTTAACCCAATCTAGAAACTCCCTCACAGTCATGCAAAGAGGTTTGCGTCCCTGCTAATTCTAGATTCTGTAAGTTGAGAGTCTCAACCATCACATTCAATGTCTGTGAACTTACGGAAAACAAGGCCTGGAGGTGGAGGGCAGATGGCCGCTGGGACTGAGTGAATGGATCTAGTCCTGTGGGGAGCTGGGTGTCTGGATGCCCAGCTGAGATATCTAGTGTCCTCTCTGCGGCTGCCTGCTCTTGGCCTCTTTCTGAGGACACCAGAATCAGGGCAATTAGCTCCAATTGTGAGGGGACTCCTGATTCAGAAGCTTGTCCCCTGAAAGAAAGAAAAAGAACGCCATGTATCTGCTAATTTTATGGGGAGGGAGCAGCTGTCAGATGCTGGGAGGGTTATTGTTATTGCGTTCCAGCTAACTCTCACCAAACTTTCAGCTATCATTGTCTGAATTCGGAGGCAGGAGCTGGAAAGACGTAGCTGTCATACCTAGGGGGCATGGAATTCAGAAACAAGTTTTACAATGCAGCAGTTAAAATTAAGATGAATTGCCCCCCAAGTACGTAGGAAAGTATGAGTCAACAGCCCCAAATTAACTCTCTTTGGAAAATTACGTCTGCTAAATCTTATTGAAAGTCAAGGCAGAGCTAAATTTGATTGTCATTTTCTTTTTCTTTCTGTGCATGTGTGTCACGTGCAAGTGCTTGTGCATACGTGTGCACATATACAAGGAAGCTAGAGGTCAACAATGTATGTGTGTTTTCTAATTATGTCCATCTTGTTTGTTTATTTTTAATTTCATGTGTATATGTGTGTGCCTGTACAAGTTTATGTGTGCCACGTGGATGCAGCAGCTCAAAGAGACCAGAGAAAGGTACTGGCTCCCCTGTAATGAGAACCTCTAAGTAGGTGCTGGAAAAGGAAGCTGGGTTCTCTACAAGAACAGTACGCATTCTTAACTGCTGAGCCATCTCCCCAACCCCCTCCACCTTGTGTTTTGAGACAAGGTCTCTAAGGGAACCTGGAGCTCACTGATTGTTTCTGCTGGGCTGGCTGGCAAGCAAGCTAGGCTCCCCAGGACTGGGATTACAGGCACTGTGCCTGCTTCTTTTTGAAACATGGCCTCTGGGAGGGTTGATCTGAGGCCCCTATGCCTTCAGGGCAAGCATTTCATCCACTGAGCCATGTCTGCAGCCCTTCATGGTCACCTTCTAATGGAATATTCCATTTGCAAATGAATACCCATCACTTACAGCTCTAAGTCAGCGTGTGAGGTAGAGAGATACTCAGAGAATTCCAGGTGTTTGGGACACAGGGCATGTTCCTCACACTCAGGTTTCTGCTCTTGACTTAAATATTCCAGTTATTTCCTTGACTGCAGAACTCTGCCAAGGAGAGAGAAAGTTCTTTTGTCCCCAGTCACCTTCCCTTGAGATCCAGGGTTTCCTCCCGACCTGGCTGCTGGGGAAGGGGAAGTGGATCCACCTTGAGATGATGAATAGCTGACACATCCACAGGGACCAGCCTGGACCTCTGGCTGGGTGTGTCTCAGCTCTGTTGCTTTTTCCTATTCTTCTTCTGATGTCACCTCCCCCCAGTTTCAGAATCAGCACGTACTGAGTTAGCACCAGCAAAACCTCCCAAACATGGCATCTACATAGAGCGTGGAGAAGCAGGCAAGAGACAGCACTTGGTTAAGTCAGGGGCAAGTGCAGCCCCAGTCCAGGTGGTCTTTGAGAGCCTCACTTGGGCTACAGGGTAGAGAACATAAGACAGGGATCAATCCCCCAAGGGGGTCACTGGCAGAAGTCACTGAAAAGCCCAGTCACCATGGCAACAAGGAGGTGTTGCCTATGGAAGCTGAGCTTTGCCCCAGTGCATCTGAGCAGTGAAATGTTCTACTGTGGAGGTGGGAGGTCATGGTCCACTCGCTGCTGAGCTGGGGTTTCTCTTCTTTTGCAGGCTCTGTTCTCCCAGGGTTACCAGGGATGCAAGTTGATGTTTATCACATGCTACGAGTTCCTGTCTCTTCTGCCCCTCTTTCCTGCACATCCCTTTACCCTTTAAGCCAGTGTCCTGTGTTAAGCAGTGTATCTGTTGCTGCTGCCCTCAGGCCACTTCCTTCCAGGAGATACCTGCTCTGGGCTCAGTCCCACACTACTCAGGGTGACTCCTCTTTCTTCAAGGAGGACTTCTGCTACCGCCCAATTTTTTTGGCCCCACCTCTTTTCATGCCTACTTTGTCTAGTAAGAGGACATTGCAGATTTAGAAAAATAAATACAAGGACTTAAAACTTAAGATGATTTCACCCAAACTGGGTCGAGCACATACTCTTACTCAAGGTAAATGTCAGATCCTGGGGTCCTGGGTCCACTCAGATCTCTCAGAAACACAGTTCAGTAAAGACGATTCCTTTAAAAAAAAAAAAAAAAGAATTACTAATTTTATTTTATGGTTTGCCTACATGTATATGTGTGTGCCATGTGCCTATGGAAGTCAGAAGAAGATGTTGACCCCTCTGGAACTAGAGTTTACAGATAATTGTGAACCACCATGTGGGTGATAGGAATCGAACTCATGTTCTCTGCCATTACAACCAGTGTTCTTAACCACTGAGCCATCTCTCCAGGCCCCCATTTCTTACACAAGTCTCGCAGTCACATAGGGGCTCTCATTTTCCTTGAAGAGTCAGAAAGGAGACCCAGGCGCCTGGTATGCAGGTTCTACACTGAACATCTGGAGCATGGGTGAAATTAAGGGCATGCACAGTACGGCTTGACCCACGGAGAACTTCTCAATAATTGCCTCAGTCCAGGACAGAGAGGAGCACCTTGCAAAGAGGGGGTGATGATGGCAAACGTAGGACATGGTTCAGGAGATGCTTTGAAGTTCCTCTTGTCCCGCGGGAGCCAGCACATACGGCCCTGGAAGTGAAGAATCCAGGTCTGCCTGACTACTTCCTGTTCCTTAAAGCGGCGCTGTGCTAAGGGTGTGAACATCTCCACATCTGTGGGGACCAGAGAAACAGGAAGAGGAAGAAGAGGAAGAAGGAGCCTTTGGCTAGTTCTTACTTATCCCTCAGTGGCTACTGTGGCTTGCAGTTTCCAGTGGTTTTGTTGGTGTTGTTATAGTTGGTACCACAATCTCTTTCCCTGATTGTCTTTTCCTTGGGACTTCATAGACTATCTCTAAATACTTTCATGTGGGATCCTGACATACCCTGACAGCCATTAGAGAGATGCTCGGCACACCTAGGAAGAGCACACCTGCCATGTCTGGTCTTTTGGGTGGAAGTAGAGCAGGAAGTGGGGGAGCTAGGTGCCCTGGAAAATGGCTGCTAGAGCTCAGGAGCCCTGTGGGTCTGATGACTCACAGCCCAGCGCACCTGCACTGTGCTTTCCATGAGTGTAGAACCCCCATGGAGCTTCTTTGCATTTAAGATACATGCAGGTGCAATTTCGTGAAATGTGTTAAGCTTAGACAGAAGTCTGAGGGTGAACCAGAGGGTTGTGTTCCTAGCTGTCTCCAGGGTTTGAGTCAGAGACAGGGACATGGAGTCTGGACCCAGGGAAAGGCCCCTGATTTGCCCCAGCAAGAAACGTTTTCCTGTCTCCACTGTAAGCTGTGAGCTAGCACCTCTCTGGTCGTTTCTGCCAGCCTTTATTCTCCAGCTTTTTTTTCTCTGCCAGCTGCTCCTGGCTCCCTGAGTTCTTCCAAGCCATGGGGTTTATGGGATCCTCACTGCGCATGAGTTTGCACAGTGACCCACCCTAAGGGTTTCTGTTAGAAGCAACTAATTCTCAGACCCGAAGGAAAGTGATGGCGATGGAATTGCCACCTATCCATGGGCCAGGCTCTGAGGGAAGAGATCACTGGTAAGGAAGCTGCAGGCATGAGGGACACCCTCTGCTAGAACTTGACAACTAAGATAAACATCCAGGTGCTTTCAGGGCTGTGACTATGCAGTCAAGTAAAGCCAATGACTGGCCTGCCATGGTGGATGCGGTCCCATTCTTGTGTGTTCATGTATGTTCCTGTCTGTACATGTGCATTCAGTGTGTATATGCAGGTGCACATGCATATGTATATATGTGCATATCAAGGTAAAAGGTCAACTCCAGATGCTATTTTATTTTTTATTTTATTTTATTTTTGGTTTTTTGAGACAGGGTTTTTCTGTGTAGCTTTGTGCCTTTCCTGGAACTCACTTGGTAGCCCAGGCTGGCCTTGAACTCACAGAGATCCGCCTGCCTCTGCCTCCCGAGTGCTGGGATTAATGGCATGAGCCACCACCGCCCGGCCCAGATGCTATTCTTCAGGTGATGCCCGTCTTGGTTTTTGAGACAGGGTCTCTGGTTGAACCTGGAGCTCACTAATTCAACCAGACTGGCTGTCCAGTGAGCCCCAGGATCCACCTGTCTCAACTGTCTCCCCAACAGTGAGATGGCAAGTACTCACCCCCACAGCTGGCTTTGTTAGGTGGGTTCTGGGGATTGAACACAGATTCCATGCTTCTACATCGCATTACTGACTGAGCCGTCTTCCAGTCTGTGCCATCTTCTTCTTGCAGGATGAATGGTATTCTCCGACACCACACCTTCTCTAGCTTGGCTGCACTTAGGATTTTTATTCTGCACTGGGCATTCACCAAATGTTGCTTTAGTTTTAGGGATATTGGGCAATTCTTCCCAGAAGTCTCTGCATTTGGTGGCCATCATATTCCTGATCCTGAGTCTGGGAGCTTCCGTCCTGAGCTCAGTGTTCACCTTCTACAACAGCATCAGCAACCCTTACCAGACATTCCTGGGACCTATGGGCGTCTACACCTGGAATGGACTCAGTGGTGAGTTTCCTGAGAAGACTCAAGTGTACATGCATGCACACACATACACATGGGCATACACACGCATACATGTGTACACGTGCACACATAGGTGTACACATATGCACACTGATGCATGCTCATGAACACACATGAACACACATTGCTCTCCTTCTTGCCTACACAAGGTGAAAACTTGGACTCCAGAGATGCCACACCTGGGTGGCTAAGCCACAGAGCAAGGGAGGATGCCATCTGGGACCAACACTCTTCTTGTGGGCTAGGATGTCGTGTGGTTGCTAGGTGATTTTGTTATTTTGTGGGTGGGTACCTGGGTGGAGGATGGAGTCCAGATGGGAAGTGGATTATGCTGTGACTCAGACAAAAGACTCTGTGGGCTTTGTCCATGTACTGCAACCCCCACATCTGCCTAGTGGGACTGAGAAGCAGAGGTTAGGGGACTTGGTTACAAATCCAGATATAGGTCCCTAGCATCACGGGCCTTCTATCAGCCACCAGACCTCACTCACTGCCAGGCTAGACAATGAATTAATTGTTCTTAGTCTTGCTCGTGCAACTCGGATCCAACAGAAGCAGAGGCCTCAGACATGGCTGGATTTGGAGATTACATTGTGGACGATCTGTTTCTCTTGATCATTGTATCGGTTGATTTCCCAGTGTGTGGTCTATAGCTACACAGTTGAGTCAGTTCTCTAAAAGGTCATTCGTCTGTACACACCCTGGACTCTGCCAGCAGCAGCTCTAGAGGAAAGGCCTGCCATATCCCAGGTGTCAGGAGAGCATCCCAGGCCCAGTTCTCATGGACTCACACCTTGACATGGCCTGATCAGTCTCTGAAGCCCAGAAAGACAAACTGGCCATCAAGTTGGCTAAGAACACTTGTCCATACTGGAGCTGGATCCAGAGTCAGCTTTTCTCTAGCCTCAGAGGCACATGAGGGACGAGGGGTGGGTTCCCAGAGGAGAAGGGGAAATGCAGGAGGCTAGGCTGGGTCTCTCTGCAGCCCATGGGGCTGCCAGCTGGCCCTTTGAGGCTGTAGCCTCATCTCCTTCCCCTGCAGGGGAGGACAGACTGCTGTACAAGTGTCAGAGCCCCACACATGTCTGCAGAGGAAAACAAGTCCAGACAATCTCCCCTCAGCCTGCCTATGTCTAGTCACAAAGAGCTATGCTGTGGGGAGAGAGTTCCCCTCACAGTACTTCTGCCTCAGGGGTATATTCTAACTCAGAGGGAGAGACAGTGATGTCAGCAGAAAAAAAAAAAAAACCCAACACCTGGAAGGGGTATAAAAGGGGCAGGTTTGCATTCTGAGCTGGGTCTGGAGGAGGCCTTTGGGCAAGCACAGGAGTTGGGAGTAGCCTTTTGTGTCCTGATGCTCAGTAAGCCAGATTCTGTCCTCATACACCCTCAGAGAGCCTTTAATTTTCTGCCCTTATCTGGAGGGTTACAGGGTTTAGTGAGAACCGGTTTGCAAAGCAGCTAATCCTGCAGAAGGGCCTCTGTGCATCATTAACAATGGAGCTTCCTAGCTTTTGGGGCACTGTGAGGGAGGGTTACTGTCAGACTGACTTTAAGGCCCTGGAGAATGCCAAAATCCCCTGTGGAGCTAGGCTTGCCCATGCTCTTCTGGGCTGCATGCGGTAAGCAGGCCCAGTGGGTAGAAGAGGAAGTGGATTACCTGGTTGGTTTCTAAGGGAAAGAAACAGCAATAACACCACCTGAGGCTTGTACCCCCTGACCTCAGCCCACACTGGCCCCAGTGTGGCCAGAGTTGGCCACAGGGGATTTTAAGGTAGGCGGAGGGGAGGTTGGATCCAGAGAGACTGTCACAAACTGTTTGCTCCAGACATCCTCAACAGGAGAACATAGGAAGCAATGAGTAGGTATCATAGCCCAGCGGGGATAGGCTCCTCCAGAAGTCCATGTCCCCAAGCCTTGAAGAACAGCTCACTGCTGCCTGCTCCCTGCCTCCAGTAGCCCTCCAGTCTACAGCTCTGGAGAAGATGTGCAGCTAGCCAGGCCTAGATGGAGGCCTATACTCCCAGGTACTTAGGAAGGTGAGGTGGGAAGACCCCCAAGTTCAAGACCTGTCTGGCTGCAGAGGAGGTTCAAGGCCTGCTCAATACAAATCATGAAAAGAGGGCTGGAGTGTGATTCAGTGGTAGAGTACTTGCTTACTGTTTTCAAGGATCTAGATTGAATCTCCAGTATTTCAGGAAGGAAGGAAGGAAGGAAGGAAGGAAGGAAGGAAGGAAGGAAGGAAGGAAGGAAGGAAGGAAAGGTAATCAATTAACTAGAAGTGATGTGGAGCCCAAGGCTCCAGGCATCTGCCTCTAAGGGACCCAGATAGGCAAGGTGTCTACATGCCAGCCCTTCCCCAGGCAAATCAAAGCTCCAGACAATCCACTTTAGGGTAAAGGCATTAACCTTGTGTTCATTCCACCCCTTTATGATTAATTAAGCTTTTATAAGAAACTTCACAAGAGGAAAATGAAGGATAATGAAGGTGTGAGAGGCGCCCAGTGAGCATCAGAGGAGCGGGACTTTTGTTCATACAAATAATTAAGAAATAAAGCCATTATTTTGTGGGTGAGGTGTGTCATCAAGGGCTGTTCAAACATTCTCCTCATGCAAACCCCCCTAATTAGCTTCCCTCAGAGGACCGTTTGGGGAGCTTTCCTGCCTGTGGGTTGGGATACAACCGATGCCCGAGACTTCACTAAGCTTTAATGCACATTTCTGTGTATGTCAGCAGAGGAAGGATCCCAGAAGACTTCATCCTGGGGATTCCCCTGATGTGTCAGACCCTACCGGGGCATGAGCATCCATCCTCATCCTCACCTTCCTCCTAAAGTTTTTTCATTCCAGTGTCCCTGGTATATGAATCTTAGCCACTGCAGACATCACTACCATCATTTTCCAAACATTTTCACCAGCTCAAAGAGAGACTTCATGTCTCCTGGTTACTACCTGCCTCTCACTCATCTAAGCAGCTATTGGTCTGCTTTGCTGTAGACACTTCCTGGTTCAAGGCCACACTTGGCTGAGTCATGCAGAGTGGACCAGCTGCAGCAGCTGTCGAGAGCTCCCCTGCGTCCATGTCCAGCACTCCAGAGCCTGTGGTTCTCTTGCTCCTGGTGGGATGTACCCCTCACAGTTGGGGGTGACCCACTGCCAATCTCTGCTCTTATGGAGGTGGCTTCTTCCACCTAGGATGCTGGTGTTTTACCAAGTCTTGTTTGTCCATTCACACCTCCCCGTACACTCACTGTATCCACTCTCCATCCCCTGTCCACTCACTCACACCTGCTACATATGTGTCCCTAGGGCATAGGCTGTGGTAGGCCAGTCACCCAGCGACAGCTTCTGATGGGATCTGAGCCTGCAGGTTAGATACTTCCCTGAATGATATTTGGAATTTCGTGCCTAGAATCGAGTTTATACCTTACATCTTATTTTTACATTCTCCTTCATCTTGAAACACTATAGAATCCCATTAGAACACTATTCAATAAATGCTTATCATGTATTCCATAAAGAAAATAAGCAATATTAAAAATGCATGGGGACTGTGCACAGTTAGAGGGATAACTCAGCAGTTAAGGGTGACTGCTGCCCAGTCCCTAATCCTAAGGACCTGAGTTGGAATCTACCCCCTCCCAACAATGGGTGGTTCAGAAACGCCTCTAACATCTGCTCCAAGGGATCTGATGGCCTATTCTGGTCCCTGTGGGTGGCTACCTACATATATGTGTACATACATTCACACAGACACATGCTCATATGCATGTAAATAATTAAAATAACTTTAAAACATGCACCACAAGAACAGGTAGATGGTTCAATGAATACAGTGATCACTGCAAAGAAATAATGGCCTGAGTTCAGATCCCCAGCACCCAAGAAAACAGCCAGGCCACGTGGTGCACATCTGTAACCACATCCCTGGGTGGGCGGTGACACTAGACCGGGATCTTGGAGGCTTGCTGCTGAAACAGGGAGTTCCAGGTTCAGTGGAAAACCCTGACCTCTCTGCAAAAATAAATAAATAGATAAATAGACAAACAAACAAACAAATAAATAAATAAATAGGAAAGTGGTAGAAACAAACAACTGGTGTTGTCCTTTGGCCTACACATATGTGCATATACATGTGTTCACATTCAGACACATACCACAGAAAGGCACATGCATACATGCACACATGTACGGACAAAAATAACGTTAAGAATGCCTCATTTATGAAGCTCAATCTTCTTTTCAGCATCCTTTGTGTTCCTGACCATGTTACTGTTCGTGGGGAATACAGAGTCCAACCATCTCTCAGAAGAGCTGTCCCAGAAGCTTTACCCAGACACCGTCAACGAGAGAACAACCCACACTTACGGATACTCATTTTGGCTCATTCTGCTTGTCATCCTTCTGAATATTGTCACTGTGGTCATCATCATTTTCTATCAGAAGGCCCGATACCAGCAGAAGCAGGAGCAGAGAAAGCCGGTGGAATATGCTCCCAGGGACGGCATTTTATTCTGAGTCTCGTCTGGCATCACATTCGCACTGTCTCTGCCAGTAGTAACCGGCTAGCTCCTCTGGACAATCTGCATGGTAGAGTGACTGTCAGGTGCGATACCTTCTGTAACCATGATACCATGTCCTTCCTAGGCGATGCTTGTACACTTCTCCACGGCTATCCCCCTGGAAAGAGTTTTCTCATGAGGGCAAGGTAATGAGTGGGGAAGGGTGTGGGCTAGAGTGCTCCCAGAGGGGGTGGTCTGGGGCCTGCAGGCCCTTCCCTCCTGGCCTTGTTATCCACAGTAATAAAGGTCTGAGTTTTCGCCTTTCCTGTGACCAGCTCAAAGGACTGTAGCCCCCATGATCTTGTCCGTAGGAAGGACCAGTTATTTCTCCCTGCTGTAGGAACAAAGGCATTCTGAACTTGTTTATCCAGAGTCAAGAGTTAGATACAAAAAGATAAAGGATGAAATGACCCTGCAGGCTCATTTCCTTTAATGAGGGCTAGACAGGTGTAGAATTTAGGCCTTGGGAAACCTTGCACGAACTGGTTAGAGGTGAAATATAGTCACTGTGGTCAGTTTTTCCAGTAGACAGACAACCAGCAAAATGGGAAAGGCACCAACATTTATTCTACATGTTTTTCCAGGAGGATATTTCCTTTGAAAATCTCACTGAGAACCCTTCAGCCTTGACTATTTTACAATGGAAAGTGACCCCTTTCATGTGTTGATGGAGTTGTGAAGCAGTAGCTCTGTGACAAGGAGTGGATCCTATGAAGTCCTCAAGGATAAATGGCCTTCAACACTCAGACTTAGAGGTGTGAGCTGGGTCCCCACAATGTGGGCAGCACCATGCTGAGTCCTCACCCTCCTGGAGTTTACTGTCAGGCAGCCTAGGCAGACATTTAATGAACACTCACTTGACTCCAATCAAAACAGTTGCTTAGGGTTGGGGGGTCCCTCCACTGGAGAGCACTAAAGTGCCTAGCATGTGCAAGGCCCTGGGTTCCATCCCTAGCTCTATAAAAATGAAACAAACATGTAGTTACAAATTTGTGCTTGTGTTTTGAAGGGACAATCTCGATCATACTCCACCTTGAAGTCCTACTAACTCAAGATTATACTTTATCTGTTAAATTATTAAAAATTTACTATGCTTTATTTCTTTGTGTGTGTACATGTGCATAGGCCATGATGTGTGTGTCTGTGTGTCTCTTTGTGTGTAGAGATCAGATGACAAGCTTCAGGAGTTGGTTCTCTCTTCTACCATGTGAGACCTACTGAGCTATCTTGTGGACTGACTACTAAATTATTACACAGTTTGGATTTGGGCAACAATGGCTTAGTGGATAAAAGTGCTTGCCACCAAGCCTGAAGACCCTAGTCCATTCTAAATGACCCACATAGAGGAAAGAAAGAGCTGACTCCTACAAGTAGTCCTCTGATCTCTGTTCATACATTGTGGCATGTGCATGCCCATAGCCACAACCATGCTTCCCTATACAATACACAAAATAAACACATGAATATAAAATTTAAAATGACTCATTATTGTTCATCTAAAAATTTTGGTATATATATATATATATATATATATATATATATATATATATATATATATATATCAGAATCCTGCTTTACAAAGAGAGGTGAAGTGAGGTGCCTTTGCTCTGTGTGAAGGCAGCAGGTGATGAACTCACACACGCCTTCAGTGAGTCTCCTTAAGCAAGGACCAAACATTACCCTTCCACAGGGGGTCCTGCTGTGGATATCGCTCTGTATGCTGTAAATGTGTTGCTCTGATTGGTTGATAAATAAAATGCTGATTGGCCAGTAGCCAGGCAGAAAGTATAGGTGGGGTAAACAGACAAGGAGAATTCTGGGAACAGGAAAGCTGAGTCAGGAGACGCCAGCCCACCATCCAGGGAGCAGCATGTAATGGCACACAGGTAAAGCCACAGAACATGTGGCAACATATAGATTAACAGAAATGATCTGAGTTTAAATGTAAGAGCTAGTCAGTGGTAGGCCTGAGCTAATGACCAAGCAGTTTTAATTAATATATGCTTCTGAGTGATTATTTTATAAGCAGCTGCAGGGTCCGTGGGGCTGGGCAAGACCAAAGAAAACTTCAGCTACAGGGTCCATCCAGGCCTCCTCTTCCAGGCAGGAGAACAGTATTTCAGTGAACATCCGAGACACAATGAGATGGATGGCTTTTCCCTCCAAGGCTGCTGGATAGTAATTTGCTACCCAAAAACTATTAACGTGTGTGCAGTCACTTACATTTCTGCAATGGATCCACCTGAAATACCTTTTTAAAAATATATATAAAAATATTCCATAGAATGAGGGTGTTTCAGTGATCACAATATGATCTCCCCCTTAGAGAACCACACGGTTTGGTGGCCCACACCTGTGACCCCAGCTCCCATGAAGCAGAGGATTACACAACTTTGAAATCTGTCTGGTATGTTGGGAGTTCCAAGCCAGTTAGGTGGAACCGGAATCCGTGTTCCCTTGGACATAACATTTGGTGTGTGCTGGGGGCGGGGGTGTCCAAATCACAGCCCCACATCCAGCCTCTGTGACCATGCAGTTTGGGGCATTCTCTAAATGCCACAATGAAATTGCAGGTGCACATCTCAGCCCCCTCTTGCCTTCCAAAGCTTGTCAGAGGCCTGAGCACTGAGAAGTCAGGCTAAGCCTCTCAGAATTGCTCCCCACACCCATCTGGTGCTCCTCAGCACCCCATTTCTCTTAAATGGAAGCCAGTCCATGAACTTCTGTGTGGGCTTGAAGTCAATTCACCATTGCCTAATGTCGCTTCTAATACAATCCAGATAAGCAACTGGCCCAGTGTGTAAAAAATAGGGCTGCCACTCCAGCTTGGAGAGGATGGCTTTCCTTGGACCCTTATCACCTCAATCATCTCCTAACCAGGCAACCCAGAACCACAGGGACTCAGGGTGGCACTGTTTGGGGAGATGATCTCAGACAAGGTCATTAGCCAGTGTGTGGGAGCTGACCCCTCATGCAGCTGGAGAATTGTACCACAGCCCAGGTGTCTCCACTCTCTCAGTACTTGGATGCTCAGCTGGAGGATCATTATGGTAGCTTTACCATCTCACTGCCAGCTGCAGGAAGTAGCAGAGTCCAAGTCGTTGCCCCCCCCCCCCCCACGCTCCCTCCACTTAGCTCTTTACTCAGTAAAACACAACTAAATAATAGGAGGGAAAGCTAGGGATAACAGGCATCGAATGGGGGATCCTTAGGACCAGGAAATCACCAAAGAAATGGAGGATAGCAGCTGTGTAATGTTCTGGCCTGGTGAGAAGGGCCTGAGAACACACGCAAGGGCCATGCTCCAATCCTGGAACTGCAAATCTGCAGATTGTGTGGAAGGAGAGAAAGACACCAGTGCTGCCACCCTTGTCCCTCTGCAGGCTACATATGTCCCTCTGCTCTGTAGGCCAACAGGCAGCACCCAGAAATGATAAACCCAGCAGCAGTACTGCAAGCAGCTCTTGGGTCCTTTCCACCCATGTGGGACCCAGTGCCATGAACAGGCGGGGACAGAATGGCCGAGCTCCTGGTCCCTCATTTCTGTCCCTGAGGAAATGTGGCATTCCTGATGGACCCTTTTGCCTAGGATGGGATGCCGTGCCCCATCCTGTCTGTGTCTCTCGTTATTCAGCTTCTTCGGGCCGCTCGTTTCAAGTAAGCCTTCAGGTGGACTTGAAAGCTAACCTGAGCTGTGAAGGGGTCTCTCCCACAGAGCCTCCCACACACCCAGCAAAGGAGAAAGAAGTATCCATGGCAGGCTTCACACTGTGCAAGGTTCATTTTCAGTGTTGAAATGTTTAGTAGAAGGTGAGGAGACATGCTTTGTATTTTCTAGTTCGTCATTTTAGTTGTTACTTTTGAAGACTTCCTTTCTGCTTTTTTTTTTTTTATCTCTTCCTGCTATGCAGAGCACAGATTTCTGGTTTTTGCCTTGGTCCCCATTAGACCGGCCGTTCCTCTGGTTCTCTTGAGGCACACCTGCTTCAACAAACATGGGTCTCATTGTAGATCAGTGTGCTGTCCCTGGGGCTTTTCCTTTCTCAGTCAGAGCAGAGATGGGGTGAAGCCTGAGTCTTTACTGGTTTTCATCCTTAAGGCTCCACTAGGAAAGCCACACACACAGTTCTCACTGTTTTCCAGATGCACACCAGTGTGTCCACCTAAATGCTGCACACTCGAGATCTTACAGAGTCCGGGCAGCAAAGGTACACACAGTGAATGAGAGCGTGAGAAGAATTATTAGTCATGCTCTCAGTGAGACTGACCATGGTCCTGTGTGTGTATACAGTGGCTGTAAAAGTCAGAACTACATGTCCAGGACTAGACTCTGAACTCCACCAGCCACCCCAGGCACATGTCATTTTACTTACCGAGTGTGCTGGATTCTTACAATATTGACATGGGTAGATAGTCACCTTTTGATTAGAAATAAAACCAGTTTCATTGGAAGGCAAACTGTGTGTTTTCTTCCCTGGCTTCTCAAATAGGTCCTGGGTTTAAAATGTCTATTTTAAAGACATCTCTTTTCATGATGCCGTCACAGTGGTAACTAGGCATTATTCTATTGGTGGCCGTTGGTGCAGTGGAGAGAGCATACATTGAGTCAGAAACTCAGCTCCAGTGGTCCCTCGGCAAGCATATGTTCACTGAGCAGTCACAGAGTGCAGGATGCAGAGGCTGGAGCTGAGCTAGGGAGGTGTACAGTCAACACTGTGCTTACAGAGCAGTGCCCAGGCCACGGGGAGTCCATATGATGACAGGTGGCAGGTGGAAGGGAGCTACTGGAGCTGCGGGGCCTCTCAAGGGCCTCTTAAACAGATGGGAATAATGGTCCGGAGACAGGGCTGGCCTTAGCGTCACTGCTAGTGCTCTGACCTCAAACAAGGCCTGACACTAGCCTTAGAAATAAGCTGTTGCACCCAGAGGGGCAGTGGAAACTGTACTTGTTTGTATCTGCTTCCTCGTTTGCAAAATTAAATGAGTAAAGGGACAGAA